GACAAAATCGAAATTTAAAACGACTGTTTTCGCCCGAAATACCTATTATATGAGTACTTGTTACCTTTCCGACCATTGATTCTTTACGAAAAAGATAATAGTAATTTTAGTTGTACAGCAGCTTGTTTTACGAACCACATTGTTTCCACAAAAATCCGTCAAAAGCGCTCGAGTTTAACTTTAGTTTGAGTTTTCATCTATATAATCATAAATACTGTACATGGATGACACAAGTTTCGTTAAAAAACGAAGGTTTTTCTCACAAGCAAAACTTGGAGGCGATTCTTGCAAAAAAAATCTTATCAATAATCTTCCCTCCCTCCACCTCATTTTGGAGACATCGACTGAGAGAAGAAAAAGTCATAACTTGGCTGAGCCCCAAGAGGACAACACCAATCAATTGACATCAGCAAGCTCGGCCAGAAAACTATTGACTCTTTCGTGACTGTTTCCTCTTAGCCAACGGTATTTTGTGATGTATAATACGAAAAAAAAAAATTCCCTCAGCAGTGCCGACTAAAAAAAACCCCTCGCATCCCACCCGAAAAATATCACTGTTATAAAACTGCACCGTCTTTCCATCCTCAAGATTCGTCGAAACACAGCAGTGGGCATAAATACAAGAGACAACAACGAGACGATACCTACCCCTGAAAATCTCGTCATTGTTATAACGTACACACACCCGACACCGACTCCAAATTAAATCATTTTATTATACATTGTAGTCATTTCACGTGTATACATACAATATATACACAGACAATACCTAAAGTACTGCATTGGAGAGAGAGTAAATTGCCTTTATAGGTATATACAGTGAATGCACAATATCATTATATCAGCACCTACACCATCGGTGTGTATTGTACGATTCCTCGAGCGCATCCCCGGCACGGTGTTTCCGAGCTGGTGCTTCGCTAAGTCAAAACGTCCTATAGGACTAGTTGCATTGTCATTACCAGCCGTGCCGTTGAGTTAGTCCTTCGAGTTCCTCTCGCTCCAGCAGCTGATGTGTGTATATTGTCCCTCCCTTTATCTGGTAGGTGTATATACGTGTGTAGGCATGACGTGGGTGGTGGCGTGTGTATGTGTGCTGCACTACCGTGGATTATGAATTGACGCTAATTAACGGCTGAATTTAATTAGCGTTAGTCGCAGGCGGCCGTTCGGTTCGAGGCATCATCGGGTTTGACGTTGATGTTTAATTGGTGGTCAGGAACTAAGGGATCTTACCTTATATGTTTGGGCTGACTAATTGAATGTTGCAAATTATTTGCGTGCTGAATCATGTTCTGTACGGTTATTTGAAAATGTTTGTTTTGGCCCAAAATTTTTTACTTCGTTAATCACAAACGGATTCGCCTCAATTTTCGTGCCTAAAGTCACTTACCATTTATGCGTGCGCGGTTTGAATTCCTTTTAACCGAAACTTGCGGCTTTTCACGAGCAGATGTATATGAGCTTCGAAATAATTCAGACTAACCTCAAAATGCATTTGCAAAATGCACTCCATGTGTCGAAAGCGTACTTTTTAGGTTACGAGAAAACTACTTGAAAAACTTGGCGAAACCCTTCTGTGGTCACTAACAAATACTTGCATATTTTGCGAATTGGTTATTTGTCACTAGGCACCTTTGTGGAACGCTTTGACGTTCCTCTTTTCAACGCGCTGTGCCAAGGCCGTTTCACCCATCGAACACGTTTGAACACTGTCTTTCTTTCGTTCGATCGTTGAAAATTTTTAAATATTTCATTAACTCTTTGCACCAAGCGATTAATTCTTAAGAACGATTAAATGACACACTTTTTTTGTCAAGTTCGTTTACCGCAACACCATTGATGAACGAAACGTTATGAATATTAATTTCTTTCAAACACTGCAAGGAAAACATTTTTTTTTTTTAATTATACATTGACGTTTTTTTACCAAAATTATCAGTTACTAAAAAAGTGGGTGGAAGGGTTTGGGGTACATTGTAAATAAATAGAATTCTTAGTTCTTAATTTTTTATTGATCGAAGCATTTTCAGTACAAAATTCGAAATCAAACTTGATTTTTCTTCTCTTTGTCCGCAAATATGTCATCGACTCGCTTTTTCTGACGTAGAAGCATTTTGGATTAGAAAAAAGTTACTAACAATATGTCGTGCATTGAAATAACCTGCACATGCATTTTCATACACAACAGTCTTGACAAACAAAAATATTAAGAGTTACGCTGAGGATTTATTTTACTTTACGCTTGACATATTTGTATAAAATTGAGAAAATACATTCCACAGTGTGTTCTCGTGTGTAAAGTTGCTAACTCTCCTACCTATTATACATTTTGCACATTCTTAACGAGTCATTTAAAAATAATCACTTTAGGAATATTCACAGTTAAACTTAAGGTCCCCTTCTTCAGCACTGGAAAAATGAGTCCAATAATAATATATTTATTTAAACCTTTTCCAATTTTATTAAGTTCTTTGCATATTGTACATTTTGAATAGCTTGTGCGAGTATAAAAAATAAGCATGAGTTGATCGAAGAGACTTTTACTGACTCAAAATTTACATTCGAAGATTGAATTGGTGTATGGAATCGCGATATTACTTTCAACGTTGTTTATCACTCAACGAGCGATAGTTTCCCGCAAGAAAAAATGAAGAAAACAAATAATGTCCGTTAGCAACATGTTTTATGCGTTAATGTATCAGTCATTTTAAAACTTCGGTAACTATTTTGTGAATTTAAAAAAACTATCAAAGAGTGAGTGATGGGAATGATCTGGATAGGGTCATTCTTTTTGTTTAAGGCATCGTTAACTTTGTTCAGGGAAAATTCAAAATATACATGCACTATAATGAAAAAGCTTTTCTCTTGAAAGAATATTTTTTTGAAGAGTTAAGATGGTGTACCTTTTAAACGCAGATCGCAGAAGAAACCGAGATGTAAATTTAAACAACATCATCTTCCTTTGGTTAGATGATTATGATAGCTAAAATACCGATTAAACTACTAGAAAAAAGTATCTTAAAAATTTATTTCTAAATGATTAATAAATCAACTGTACCAATTTATGATTCATTTTAACGAAAGAAAATAAAAAAACATTAAATTTTTGTACTGAAATCATTATAAGATTCTGCACTTTTTACGAAGTTGTGAGTATCGTAACGTACTAAACTTTTAAAACTGATTTACAAAAATACTTTAGTATTGAATGCTTATATAAAAATTTTTTCCCAGTACTCATGAAGTTATAAAGTAGATTTTTTCCTGTCGTCCCTCCCCAAGCACTTTACACATGAATTAGCAATGATGGAACTTTAACATCAAGCCTAAGTACTCTTTATCTAGTAATTGTTTTTTAAAACTTTGAAAACTCAGTTTTGTATGAGAAGAATCGAGTCGATTATATTTTACACTTCCGAGCGACTAATACACATTAATATACTTTTTCACCTTAGTTTTACGACAATACAAATGTGTTTAACACAGAAATTTTATTTTATTATTTACAGAATGAATATATACTTTTGCTAAAACGAGGATTAACCCTCGATATTATTAATTAATAATTTATCTTAGGGGTTTTTAAAAAATGATAAAATGCCTTTAAAAACAATATACACTATTCTTAAGCTATCTTAATAAAATTTTCACTCTGATAAATATTTTTTTTTCAATGTGAAATTATTCTCTTTAAAAAAAAATTCAAACCAAACACAAATATCTACATTTGGCGAATTAAAAGGTTCTTTTGGAAGCATTTCATTGCGTCTAAAAGTTGACATAGGTTGGTGTCCCATCAAGTGTTAAGATTCTATTAAAAATAGTGCATCGATCATATTATAAGCTATCTGTACACTCACAACCGTTCAGATACACAATAATATTAACACATTTAATATTGAACTGGTTTCAAAATTAAGGTCGAAGAACAAAAAATAATTAAAAAAACAAAACAAATTCAAAAGAAATACATTACGATAAGTGACGATTGTTGTACTCATGTGGAGTGATGCTTTAAATGTAAATATCGATTTACCGAGGTTACGCTGTACTGTGGGTCCCGTCATAAGCTATACCTTATCGAATCTTATAAGAAAAGTTTTTATTCATTTGTCAAAGGATTTTTTAATAAAACCTCTAGTTATAATTGTCACTAGGAATGAGTGAATGATTGACACAACAAAAAAATGTAGTTTAACACCAACTTAGCGCAGTGTAGTGAGTTAGAGTTCAATCTTTAAATCCAGGTATACACATTTTTTTCCCACTGTAACGTTAGAAAGAGTTTTTAAATTTACTTTTATAAATGTTTTTTGTCATCACATATTTTACACCCATTTCATCATAATTATTTATGCAAGTAAAAAAACTATAGTAAGACTTTCACTATGTTAATGATTTCATCGCAATCAGTCCTATTCCAGATCTGCTGTACTATCAAAGTCACCTCGAGACTATTCTATTCAGCTTTTAGCTCCACAACTTTAAAACAGCCTGTCCATCAAACTTTTTCTTCATCATCCATCTACTAGTTTAGACTCTATATATTAGATATATTTTACAGTCGTATCATCGTGCGTACGGTAACGTACGTTCTACATATTCAAATTTTCCTCGATGCCATCAGCGATTCAGTGCAACTCAATAAGAATCAAAACAAGTTATGAGTAGTAGTACTTTTTATATGAAACAGTTTTACAATAAGAGATGATCTTTTTCTCTTTTCTTTCTTAGCTGGTTATGATAGTAATCTCGGATGTACTTTGAACACGTGGAACATAATGGATCAAAATATTTGTAATTTCATGTGATAATCAATTTTGTAGTTTTATAAGGTAGTTTAGTCGTTTATTGTACAAAACTATGTATAAATACACAAACTATTGGACGACAATATGTATCCTTTGATGCTATAACCGAATTGTTTTTGTTTCTTATATTTACACTTATAAATCAACAAAATTGGCTTTCAAAAAACAAGTGAAACTTACACAATGTTCAGCGTCACTTTGTAAAACATTTTTAATAATTGTTTGTTCATAACGTGATGCGTACAATCAAGACATTTAGTTTTCATTTTGATGAAATTATAATAACTAAAATGTGAAGTTCTTAATTCAATCTTATGTATAAATATGTTTTGTGACCAACTTGAGGGCACTAGTCGCAAATCGAGAAAAGTCGAAAACGCATCGGTTCTTCCACGAATTCGACACAAATGGAGCTTGACTGTCCATATGATGCGCTGATTAGTCGGACAGTTGACAAGTCGATGTCAATCATTCAAATAGACGAGGGGACAGAATCTGCGACCCCACTAAGTGCGCCCCTTGATTTTGCTGTAAATAAATAAAAATTTCCCTCAATAATTATACTAATAAATTTCTGTGAGCAATAATTTATAAATATACTTTAAAACTAAATCATTACATTATTCAGCAGGAATCAGTGATACGTTGAAGGCAATGGCAAAAATTAAATGCGTAGTACATTTTAAATTTTTGAAAACTCGTATTTTTAGCGACTTTTCGCTTTATTCACGAATCACACAAATTTGCTCGTAATTTTGGAAACGATAAAAAATGACTCTAGAGACTACAAGTGGTTTTTTTTAATTACATAAGGCTCAGTGCTATCCAAAAGTATTCATATTGTCGAGTTTTTCAACAAAAAATTCAAATTGAATGTGAATATATTTACAATCCGATTGTAGAAAGAAACAAGATAAATTTCATTTAGGGACAAAAATCTAAAAATCAAATCACCACTGTACAAGAAAACAGTCACTTTTAATGTTACCCACACAGAAGAAGAGATGCGCGTACTTGGTTCTCCGAATTGACAATTATTCTTTTTTCTCGTCATCTGCCGACGCACTGTTGTCATTGGCGTTTTCAGCGGCTTCTGATTTTTGATCTTTACTCGACGCCACCTCCGTCGTGCTGCCGGACTTAGTCTTGTCATCATCCTTGTTTGCGGTAGCCGACTCAACCGTCGAGTTTTTCTTCGCATCGTCCGAGTTATTTTCTGTCTCATCATTGGGCTTGTCATCCTTCGAATTCAGCTTAGCACCATCGATTTGGTCCTCTTTTTTGGAATCCTCTTTACTGTTAAGGTTGAAAAATTCGTCATAAATGAACTCTCTTCCACATCCAACGTCAACCAATCATCCAAGTATTTCATCTAACTCGGTATCCACTGTAGTTACCTTTCCTTCTTGTTATCATTAGCCTTGGCATCGTCCTTTTTGTCGGCCGGTACGACCTCGTCTACCTCCATCTTCGAATCCTCTTCCTTGTCGTTCTTGTTGTTGGCCGCAGCCTCCTTTTCCTCGTCGTGATCATTGGTCTTCTTGGGACGGCCTCGACCTCGACCGCCTCCGGTGCGCGACTCCTTTTTTTCCTTCTTAGGAGGCGAGGGTGCCGGTGCCGTTTGCGTGATCCCTCGCGCTGAGCTACGGGTACGCCGCCTGCCCTCAACCTCGTCACCGGCTGAAAGACCCTGCAACGAAACGAAAACAAAATCGGTAAGCATATGCACAAGAAATTTATCCCAAATCAACTTTTTGAATTTAAGTGCTTTTTAACAATTTCAGTCTACAGTGTGTATAATATATACATATACCATACACGGTGTATGAAAACGAAAGGCGGGCAAGCTTGGTGCGCAGTTGAGCGCGGCCAACGCGTGGCGCCCTCCCTTCCGATGTATAAACCAAAAATGTACCGGTCGTACCCTGAGCAAGCACATACCCATATAAACTGTATACCTATATATACCAGATACGCCTGAAATATATGTTACATATCAAAGTAGCGGCACGCTAACCGGAAAACCCAACTCCCCTCTCGCTCCCGCCCCAAGTCGTGCATATGTTCGCTCTCCCCCTACCCCATAAAGCAGCCCCCCACGCTTACGGATTTCTTTTCTCTTTTGGTTTCCGTTCCACCAACACACCTCGTAACTACTGGCATCACATTGGGATCCTTCTCTCTCCCCTTGCGTGCTTCAAGGGCCAGAGGAAGGAGCAAAGGACTACGCAAAGCTACCCAACGCCGGCACCCCGTCTGCTTTCTATGCTTCGCCGCAGGTAACAGAGCGGATGATGAAAATGAAACGGAAGAGATGCTACAACGTACAACGTGCGCCCTTAAACGACGAGGGTATACACAAACTTCGAGAAGCTTCGTTGGGGTTTTAGACCAAGTCAGTGGTGCCCCATACAAGAGGGTGAGCAGGACAATGTGTACAGTTGGGTAGGGACTGAGGATGAACAATTTCAAGCTGCGTCCACAGGATAGGAGTATAAAACTTGAGACGAGGGTGCGTGGTCTTTTTAATTAAATACGCTTGAGATCCAGGGAAGCTATAAAGACTGGAGAGAGCGGCTGCGCAGTTTTTACGGATTGTTGAAGGGATACGGGAATGCAGGAAGCTATCACACCCGAGGGTGCTTCGATTTTTTGGGAAGAAGCTCCCTAGGGGGGCCACGACTCGGCGCTTGTTTTGGTCGATTGCAGGTAGATTGAAGCGCGATGGAAAAAAAAGTAAATGCTCTTTCTTCCTTCCTTCAAGCTGGATTTTGATAAATTAACTGAACGATATTCGAACTGAAACTGCTAAAAGAAAAAAAAAATATAAATCTGTAAAACGTGTATACGTATGGGAATGCAACTTGCCTTGGTGATGACGTCGGCTTCCTGGGTGATTTTTTCTATGGTCGAGAGCCTCTTTGTGCCCCTTTTGTTTTTGGGTGTGGGCTTTTCCTCCGTCGACTCTTCCTGAAATTATAGAAAAAAAAATTCATAAGTAAATTTACACTCTTTGTCAACGCTAGTGTGAAATAATAAAGGTCTAGTTTTTTTTTTTTTTTTTTTTCTTTTTTTTTACATAAATAAAACTAATTGATACTATAATTTTTAAAATTGGTAACAAAGTAATTGGCTGACGATATTATATCTCCTTAATCCATTTGAACGCATGTGAGGAAAGAAAAAACGCCACCGATCCACGAAAAAATCCTCTACCCAAATCACCCCCAAATATGGAAAGCTCCACTTACACGATAAAAACGCTTCGACCTTCTCGTTGAAAAAAGCATTTTTAAATTTTATAAATAAGATCAAACAAAATTTTTTTTTGTTCTCGTAAAAAAAGCTCGCAGCAAAAGGTGTTTCGAAAAACGCGTCCGCCCAAAAATTAATCGCACATCTGCTCCGAGGCAAAATTAACGCGTTTCTGAGTACGAGGGAAAAAACATCGCGAAGGTGAACGCGAGAGTTACAACGTATAAGTTCATAGTCTGGTGGGAGTGAAAAGAAAAAAGTGGCGGGAAACGGCCGCGCAAGCTATGCTTGCATATGCTTGATGCTTCTTTATGTATACGATTCGTGTTTGTAGGGGTACTTGGGGCATAACGGACACCGGGGCGTTTTGGATTGTCACGCGAATAATTAAACTGCATCATCAAAAGATTCGTTGGGAGTAAACACTACTAACCCATAAACGATGATTAAAACTCATAGTGACCAAGTTGCCCCGCAATCCCTGGGGCGTACGTACACGTGCTGGTAGTAACAATAACAACAAAGCGGACGTTTACTAGATTTTTTTGCCCTTCGCGCAGCTCGTGTACACAGTATAAAAGAGAATAATACCAGAGTTTCATTTTACAAAAAAAGACGCAAATTTGTAATGATGTAAGTAATATTCCTTCTCGGCGTATCAAAGTACCGGAGTAACGCGACACTTTTCACATAATATTTTTCGTTCCTTCCGGCGGAACTTCAGGGCCAAAAGCTTTTGTTTTAGGTTCACGTTTCGTGCAAGCTTCAATTTACGGATTTATTTTTTTTATTTTTTTTTTTACATTCGCGTTGGCTTCCGAGTATAACAACAAAGAAGCGATATCACGATGGTAAATAGATCAATTTAAAAAATAGTCGAGCAGTTCGTTGATAAGACGAAGACAATTACTGTTACTCAATGGCAGCAGTTCGTTCTCATCTACAAGTTTATCGATAAATATAATATTAAGTATAAAAATGTGTGGATAAACGGAGCCAGCGCTCGCAGATAAAAATGTACAAGCGACTGCTATAACGTTGCTGCAGTTTAATCACAAAGGAGTACTTTGGTTCACGAAGCCTACGTCGATACTTCATTGAAATATCGTTTTCGTTCACTGAACAAAAAATATTTGTTTTTCCTCAAAAAAAGAAAAATGAATCAATCATAATATATAGCGTTGTTTGAGTAAGACGATGACTGGATCATTTTTGAAACGCGATAAAACGAATTTTAAAGATTAGATACGACAGTGTATTGTTATACGCATGTGACCGTGAAAAAAAAAATTTAATAATACTGATTTTTGGGGTTTCAATTAGACGTTGCAATCTACAAAAAAACGTTAAATTATCAAGCCTCATATCTAGGGTGCAAGTAATTTAACTTTTTTTTTGTCAATAAAATGCCGAAAGGAAAAAGGTATGTTTAATACAGGAGCACAAAAGAGAAGTGGTAAAAACGAGCTTCCCCCCCCCCCTGCACAACGGAGAAAAAAAAGCATATATTTCTCCTGTATAATACCTTCTTGTAAACAGCTGACAAAGACGTCAAAAAGAGAAGAATCGAAAGAAATGCACGCGCGAGTCGCCCCATGTAAGTATGGGGCATGGAAATAAATACATCAGCACTAAAAGTATATTATCTGCGATAGCAAAATAATACCTATATATACTGTTATTGATGTATATAACGTAAGCAGCTTGTACTTGCGCAAGCGAGAATAAAGAAGAGAGAAGAACATGAAAGCTGCAGCTTGACGCAGGTTGCCAATCTAAATTTCATAAGCACAATTGAAACAGTTTGAGCGTATTTTTTTGCTGCAGTTATAACTCCACCCACTCAAGTAAATATTAACTCAAGCGGCCGGAAAAATGTTTATAAACATGATTTTGGCTAAAAATATATCGATCCCTCTACCATCCACAACTACACTATTGGCCTAAAAATATAAAAGTGCATACAATGCGGAATAAGTGACAGGCAGAAACTGCACAAGTATATTGTATAAATATAAAGTATCATAGGTATGTGTAACCGGCAACCGCTACACGTCAAAGTGTGGGTAAGTATTTACACAAAAGATTGACGAATTTATTCGAAACCCTGTTAAAAAGTTTTAATACGTGTGAATCGAAAATACAAAACAACGTGAAGCACTCTCGTACGACGTTAAGTACACGTTTTATTTATCCCACCCTCAACTTGTATGTGAAACCAACCCCTTTTTTAATTATTAATCGTAAACATTTTCCAAAAGCTTGACATACCTATGCACGCGCATTAAAAAACAATCGGAGGCGGAACGCAAGACGATCTTATATACAAGTGACATACCCTACAGTGCAGAAGTTGACATTGCACTTCAAAAAAAAAAAAAGAAAAGAACCAGGCGATTCGAGAAACGTTTGTACAGTGGCGCGCAACGCAAGTACAAGTGTGTACCTATACGTGTTACATATAGGTACACACAAAATGTCACGACGCGACGAGAGAGAGGGGCCGAAGATGCGGCTCATTATCATTTTTCTCTCCGAGCGTGCTCCGAAATTTCATCGCGACGCGAGTAACGGAGTCGAGTATCCATATACGCGAGCGGCAAAAAAAACACGACAGCCGCCATCTTTGCCGACCGCCGACGCTGCGGACGGTGCCGCCGAAACTTTTGAAATCTATTACCGTATAGTGTATACACATACACCTACATACACTCTACGATATGTTTCGGAGTCATTCCACGTTGTTCGAATTCGTTTCCTTCGTAAATAAATATAAGGAGCGCACGAGATAAACCGACAAGCCGTTAACTCGGTTTTGAAATAAAAAAGGAAGATGCGCGTATATGTGACCATCGGCGAGGAGGAGAAGAAAAGAGGAGAGAACGAGAGAGCGCGCGGAGCGCTGCACCGCACGAACACCGACTCTTCTCGCTTTTTCTCTCGGTTAAGCCGACGACGACGACGTCGTGGCTGTTAGCTCGGCTTATTGCTATCTCGGCTGCGAAACACACGCGTATAGAGATGAGCACGGCATACAAACAACATACCCTAGACAAACCGAGTCGCGATAATATTACATACACTTGGGTGGAGGAGGAAAAACGGAGTCAGCGCGCGGTGAAAAAAAAAAAAAAAAAAAACTCCGTGTACACTCGCACACACACACTCACACACGGCTCTCTCACCTTGTTGGCGTTGCTCTCGTCGACGCTATTCTCGGTCTTGCTCTCTGCTTTGAGGTCAGACATGACTGCCGATTCTGGTGCTCTGCTGGTTAACTCTCGGAGCGCTACTACCTCACCTGCGAACGGTTCACTGGATAGGTATATACTATATACACGGCTCTCTCTTTCAATATATTTTATTTCTCTCCCCTCGGGCTCTCACTTTTTTTTTGGCGAGAGAGCGGCCGGCTTCTTTCGTGTGCGAGTACACAACTCGCACAGCTTCTGCTCCTGCAACAGCAGCTTCTCGCGCACTCGGATGTAGGTATGTATCGAGAGGAGGTGCACCTCTGCACGGCACACACTGTATTGTATATTAATACATATACATATATATATATATATATATTTCTCTTTATTCTTCTTCTACTGGCGGGCAAACAAGTCACGCAGCAGAGCAGGCACTTGCAAGAGAAGCTGTACCTTTATACGTGTACACACGGAGAAAAAAAATTCAGCTCCCCTTTTTTAATATCACGGAGAGCTTTTCTAGCTTTCAAAGTCTCGGAAAATATGCTTATGTATGTATGTAAACTTGCTGATGGTCTAATAAGAGTGTAGTACACACGAAAAGCACTAGCGCGCGCGCAAGACACAGACGCCGAATGCGCGCTCGGTCTCCTGCTCGATCACACGCGGCAACTTGTACGGGAACTCTCGGTTGCGTTGTCGGCGAGAGATGTGTGTTACGTACATATGATTGATGTTGGATGGCCTGCACTTTTCGGGTGATGCGCTTGATGGCTGGTACGATAAGTTACCCAACTCCGTTTAGTTTCACTCGTTTACTTGCCGGTGCATTGGCGCATACACATTTAGATTTTAATGTTTACAATCAACACGACAGACAGACAGACGGACCTGCTGATGCACTAAAACACGCCACGGCTCTCTCGCGCGCAAGGGGAGCTTCAAGATGGCGGCCCGACAGCGTGGGTCACGTGATCCCGGCTGTTGAGTCGCGCGTGCGCGCGCAACCCGAACTCACCCCTTCCTCCCCGCCCCACCAAACTGTTCTTTTTTATTTTGCAGTCAAATTTCTCCCTTACAATCAAATAAGTACTTTTGCTTGGTGAATTGAGTATAAAAGAGAGACTTTATCAACATTATGTTACATTTACAGAATTTACAGATAGTTGAATTTCGAATTAAGTAGCCACTTGAATTACTTTCTGTTCCGAATTTTATTTTCAATTTGTTAAATATTGAAGGTGTCAATTGTCAAAGCTTACCAACACTCAACGGTGTAGAACTTGCGTAGAAAATAAAAAACAATGTCAATTGTTGCTTGAAAACACTACTTAATGTAACAGGAAACAACAACTTGTTCAATGTCGGTGACGATTTTACAATATTCAGTTTTTATTGTATACCTTGGAAAAACCTAATGAATTTAAAAATATAAATATATTCGTGACGCGTTACAATTCATTAAATGTTAACTAAAATAGTTCATTTTTATTCACAAAAATACATGTACACCTTTGGACACTTTCAATGCATTGGCATTCGTCTGAACCAAAATCTTGCTCTAAAATCGTCGCTGCAAGTTAGGAATGCTGGTGCAGTCGGTGAATGTACGATCATTCTAACTGGACCATTGTGACCGAGTGACAAGAGCTGCTTTCTGGAAGCGTTTCGAGAGTTCCATGCACACAGCGAGGTCGTTGCTTCGTCGGGGAACATCACAAAATCTTCTGTATGATTGAATATAGCTTGGGCTTTGTGTTCTTGTTTGCCTACGTTAAATTAAAAAGAAAGAAATTACTAACATTTCTTTTATCAAGTTTTTTTGTCAAGAGTAAATGATCAATTACCCGTTGTACCCGCTCCAGTATAAGCAATCAAGCATCTACTAGTGGACAGCTCCCAAAGTTTAATTAACGAATCTTTTCCAGATGACAATAGGTACTAAAATAAAAATAGTTAAGGAATTACTCAAATGTAGTAAAATTAAAAATGGCAATAACATTACAGACTAATATATAATTATATTTTGCATACCTTTGCATTCCTGGTAAAAGCAACAGAACAAACTTGATTTCCATCGTGTGCTTTGGCAAATGTATTTATACATCTATTTGATACGCCATCCCACAATTTTATACTCCCGTCTTTACTGGCAGATGCATAAGTCTTGGCATCAGGGGAATACTTAATACTAGTGATACCACTTGTGTGCTGGTGATTTGGAATACTGCAAACAAAACACTGTGCCGTGTTCACATCGTACAGCCTTATGACAGGATGGTTGGTACCCACAACAATGTAATCACCAGTTGGGTGAAATGACAGACATCTAACTTGATCTGAGTCTGTGATTGTACGAAATGCTTTTTTTACACTGGCTTTGCTGTAGTCAAACAATTTTATGGAAAAGTCCCTGCTGCCAGAAACCAAGATAGCTTCCCTGGGATGGAATTCTAAACATGTCACTTCTTCCAGATGATCGTACAATGTTCTGATAACAGGATGCCCCCCCGACTGATCTCCAGGAACTTCATCTGGGGCAGATTTGGCCAACATCCTATCAACGTCTAGGATCTTGATAGAGGCATCGACAGATCCAGTAGCTATCAACTGGCCATCGGCAGAGAAGGCTCCGGCTCTGCAATTACCTTTGTGGGATGTAACATAGGCAGTTTCATACTGTGCTGGTTCTGGTGCCTGCGTTTGTGTTTCCGTTTCAAACTCCAAGTCCAATCCTGGTCCCAATGTATTTTCAGCAGTTGAAAATGAGGAGACATTGTTGGTTTCCTTTTTGGATCTGTCTGGCTCATGAGCAAGACCGATCAGCATCAAATGCAACAATCGATCCGACGGTGGACATGGAGGTTCAGCTTGTGTCTGACTTGATAGTTGCACTGCCAGCGTTTGATGACCATCATAAAACAGTTGGCTAAAAATTTCGTTCCATTTACTTGATATTACAAATTAATGTAAAATTGTTGTAGGTGTGAAACGTTTACATTTTACTTTCATTTTTCTTTACTATAGTACTGATTCATGACTAATGACTGAATTTGTCATCGTGTTAAATTGAATGTAAATTTTAATTCATAAAAAGTTAATCTTGAAACCACGGAATTGGAGAAATCTCATAAAGTTTTGCAAAAAAAACTTTGTACCCATAACCTAAACTGTTGAGAGACAACATTGTATCGTAACAAGTAAACATTGCATTTTTATGGTCACACGAGTAAGACAGAAATTTTGGAAAAGAAAAACAATTGTTACCTTATAATGAGCCTGTAGAGCTGTTCTCTGTTTTTGATTACATTCTTTGAGTCGATCTCCGAGTCCTTCATCGTTGATCGTTGCTCCTTTTCCGGCATCAATGAGCATCTATACACACATACTGATTTGACGGCGCGCGCTTGCCACTTGGACTTGGGGCTGAGCTGAGTATAATAGTATAATTGCGATTATGTTCATGTAAAAAGGGTACCTCAGTATTGAAAGTTGCAACTAAAACTACATCATCTCCAAATAATTCAGAAAAAAATTCATTATCTCTAAAATAGTGTTTCGTGGATTTATTATTAGTTTATTTTAGAAGAAAACTTAATTAAATGCAAATTAAAAAAAAAAACCTTTTTATTTTTCCTCCATCAACTGCTGTAATCCTTTGATAAAAAAGAATTTTACTCTAATCTATACCGTCTTAAATCTCACTTTTGTAAGTATATGGTTCTAACTTTTCCCACATAATCCTTTACTTTTACAATACTGAGAAAAAAAATGGTCCGATCAGATTTTTTTTTAAAACAAAAAAAATTTGTTTAAATCAAATAACTACTTTTATATGGGTTAAATAAATCGTGATTATTACATAAATAAATAATAATCATAACAAATCGTTAATTTTAATCAAAATCATTTGTTTCTAATCATTTTGTTAAAAGTATTTTAATTTCTTAATTACAAATTCAACAGCATGTACAATATAGTTTGAAACCACTCCACGAACCATTGTTATCACCATTAATTAATTACTAGTAGAGTTGATCTAAATTTATTTTATGACTTTTACAAGTCCATGTTTATGTGCGAATTTTTATGAAGTTTGTGTTGAAATTTTTATGAAAAAATTACGTTTTCAAGTTTGTGCGGCACCCTGAGAAACACACACGCCTTATTACTTTGTGTAATAAATTTATGTATTCTGTCCTATGTCTCGCTGCATTATATGTATATGAAAAAAAAAGAAAACTACTTTCGACACATGCTGTAAATATTTTTAATTTTTTGAAGATTTATCAGCTTTGCAAACTTATCGCACAGTCTCACCTTATGCTTGCATTTAAAAAATAATCACTACCTACACATCAACACCTCGGTCAAAAAAGCGCTAACTCACGTTCAATTGCGCTTACTTCGACCGAGACGACGATACACGTGCGGAAAAATGAGTATAATTTTCAAATTATAACGATTAATGTGTTCAAGTTCATTGCAAATGTTTATTTATAGTTAAATATATTCTTGCAATTACATACTGTTTTAGAAAAAAATTGTACAAATTTCCAAAAATCTGTTCAAATAAATATTTCACTTCTAGTACGGAAATATAATTACAGGCACACTGGTTTTTTATTTATTTATTTTAAAAATATAAATAAATAACGTTGAACACCATAGTCTTTTAATCACTGAAATCTTGTACAAAGATCAGTCCAAAACTATTGTCAAAAAACTTTACGGATGACGTAAAGAAAACGTTGTCCATGCAGATCAACCTCGAAATTGTACAAAGCCTGCACATCTCTGTCATAGCCTTTATTAATTAGATTTGGTAAATTTTTACACTTCACTTTGTCTGTTTTTCGTGCTGAACGTTGGGTGTATATCTCAGTCTTTCTTCAGTAGCGGCGGTGGAGCAACTAACGTCACACCCGCAAAGTAAGGGTGAGTTAATGCTTCTTTTGCCGTGATTCTTACTAGTGGATTGTACGTCAGTAATTTCTGTAAAAAAGCAAAATTGTTATCTACAACGTAATCAACAGAAACACGATACTTTTGTCTCGAGCTGTTAATAAATGATTAATAAAAATACATTAAACTAACCATCAACAAATCTTTGGCTTGGTCATCAAATATTGGTACGATCTCCTCTAAATCACATGCTTGCCAGCGAGGAAACATTGATTTATAATCTTCAAGTTGAGTAACTCCAGGCCAACTTGTTTCATCTGGTGTACCTAAAGTACGGAATATCCTAAAAAGCTGGTCTATTTCTGAGTCACCGGGAAATAAAGCTCGTTTTGTTGCCTACAATAAAAATATGTCCATATTAGTATTAGGGAAAAATTAAGAGTTAACGGAAAATTTAATAGTGTAAATTTTCAACGTTATTAAATATTTCCTTATTTAACTTTCAACCGTCTGAATGATGATGAACCCAGTATAATATAATAAGCTAAGGTAAAGTAGCCTCGTATGGCACAATTTGAGATTGGGATCCGAACAACGGTCAGGAATGTCAGGATGGGGGTACGGCCTCCTGTCAAAGCTTACGAAAATAGCCACCTTATGTAAATTTACATGAGCTATTGGCACTGTCGTCGTTGTTCGGATCCCAATAGTTTAAAAAAAATTACCTTACAGTTGCTGTAACCTAAAATGTTTTTCATCCTAAATTTACAAACTTAATAGTAGTTTCATTATGGTGCAAACAAATACTAAAATATATCATTGCTCAATACTGTTATAATAGAACTACTTCGTCTTTCACTTGAAGGGTTACGTTAATATTGTCATATACAGTTTGCTGCAGTTACAAATAGGCAGCATATATTTTTGATGTTAATAACACATTGTATAAGTTTACTGAAACGTTTTTGGAAACATTGAAAAAGTTTTTTTGAGCGGTGTGCTTTATCGGGGTACACGTTGATACAATACGAATAAACTAATTAGAAAAAAAATGTTAGTATTAATTTTAACAACTAATTAAATACTTTTTTTTTTTACAATAGTACAAGTACAAAGTATTGTATCATTTATAACTAAATTGAACCTAAATAGTTTATAGGTTATAATTTCGAGACTCCAGTCAAAAGCCAGTCAATGAAGTAGTATCTTATTAAAAAATTTTTAATTCAAACAGTTCTTGAATATTGTTCATTAAATAAATTTACCACACAACAGCATAGATCATAATATTCCTAAGAACAGCTTCTAGGAATTATTTCGCAAACTTATATGTAACCTAAAAATATTTGCAGCCGATAATCACCTACACATTTCAGATAAGCAATCAAAAGTATGTCTACGTTTTAATTAATTTTGTTTATTAAGGCTGTGTTATACGTATTTTGAATCTGTTCGAAATCTCACAAGTTTCATTTGCGTTGGTTTTCTATTTTGTTTGAATTATTTAAGAATATTTTTCTTTGGATTTATGAGGTATGCAAAATAAATAAATAACCTATTCTACCATCTTTTGGACTTGATACATGTGTATATTATGCACAAAAAAAACTATTTTCGTCACAATTTGCTGTAAATACTTCAAATTTGTTTGAGATTCGCCAGAATTGCAAACTCGTCGCACAGTTTTGTCTTGTTTTACATTATGTTTGCTTACATTTGATTCTGATTAAAATCATTCAACAAAGAAAAAACCTTACTGCAGCTTACCTTTAATGATAAGCTAGGATTTAGGATGAGTTTCCACACTCACAATATAGTCAGTATGTTGCTTATGACTAATATTACACACTTATATCAAAAATACATATTTTTATAAAGTTTTGATAAAAAAAAGGACTAACCATTTCTGCAAAAATGCACCCAATACTCCAAATATCAACAGAAGCAGAATACATTTTTGTGCCTAAAAGAATTTCGGGTGGTCTGTACCATAGAGTGACAACTTCGTGAGAGAATGTCCGTACAGGGATTCCAAAAGATCTGGCCAGTCCAAAATCTGCTAATTTTAAATAACCTTTATGATCAATCAGGATATTCGGAGGTTTGAGATCTCTGTGCAATACACGATGAACATGACAAAACGCTATTGCTTTCAATAACTGCCACAGGTAACTCTGGAAAAAATATTTGTTTAAGTATGACACTAAATTTACCGTAAATGTTTTTCATCACCTTCACACCATCCGATTGTACGTAATTTACTCTATGTATAACTAATAATATCACTCTGCGAACAAACACCGTCCGGTACTTCATTCACGATCCATATACTAGTAAATTAAATGCGATGCGAGCTATATTAACTGGAATTTCAAAACTCAGCACTTAAAATGTGAGAGGTTATGTTATACGACTAGATAAGAAATAGCTATTCGAATTTGTGGATCACGGATGAAGTTCCGGGTGCTTCATGTTTTTTACGGTAAGGTAAATGTCCACATTATTACCACAAATTTCATCATACTTGTTTCTTTAATTTTTTTTTTCTCAATAGTAAGCTTTAATGGTATAAATTTTGGTTTTGTTGGTGAGCTAGAAATTTACCATTATTATTCTAATTTTTAAATATAGTTCTTAATTGTTAAATTACTTTGGTTTATAAATAGAACATAAGACCAAAATGAACATAATTATGTAATATAGTACCTTTTGTTTCAGAGTTATGTTCCTATTTATGAAACTTAAAAAAAAATATAAGAATAATATTTTAAGACAAAGTTTTTACACTTGCATAACACAATTTTATTCAACAGAAATAATTATAAAGTTTACTTATTTATTCGTTGAAGTTTGGTACCTATGTACAGTTCAAAAGATAGGTTATGTTTGACTTTGTCCCTATTTGTGGAATCATCTTTAAAACTAATCATTTATTGTTTGTATAATGAAACTTTTCTTGTTAATTCATAAAGATAAATAAAATATACAACTATCACAACTTTTTTATCAAGTAAGTTGTATAACAAATACATGAATTTTCATATTCCATGAATAGGGACATTTACCCAATCCGTTATTTCTGAAATTTTATTATTTTAGTCATATTCCTACTTGAATACCTTTATTGTAGCCTAAAATAAAAATTCTAGTTATGAAACCAAAATAACAATTAATTAACAAGTGCCGTTCGATTATTTTGATTCCCAAATTAAATAATATGGAATTCATAAATATTGAAAAAAATGTTTATAATTAACTACTTAATATTTTTAGACTAAAAAAATTGAAGATTATTATGTAATTTTTGATATTTTTTTCTATTTTCATCCTCTGTGGAGTTATCATGATAAAATTTTTGGTACCTAACAAAGCATTAAAAATGTTAGTGATCGCTTCGATTTCAATAAGGATTTATCAAGTAGTGAGAAATATTGTATAATCTGAGCTTAAAAAAAATACTTTGAAATTTATTTTCACTATGACTACATGTTCATTTTTAAATTTCAGGATTGATAAACTAAAGAAATTTTTGTTTTAGGCTACGAAGAAATGATTTAAGAAGTGAGAGGTAAGAAAAATTCAGCTTAGAAAATAACGTGCTCTCTTGAATGAGCGATTACTTGAAAAAAATTATACATTTAAATCTCAAATAAATATGTAAGAAATAAAATTTAGAACTAGTCAAACCGGAGAAATACCTTTAATTTAATGTAATTGTTGGTCTACATATATTTCTGCTAACTGACAGTTTTGCCAAAGTACTTAATGTTTACGACATTCCTGCGAGAAACTCTGACCGGAAAAAATATGAAATGAAAAAAAAAATGAAAAAATGAAAGACGTTATTTATTCAAATTTCTAGAAATTTTGTTACAAAAAAAAAGTGTTAAATCAGCTTTTTCGGGTATCTAATCTTTCTAATTTATTACACTAATACAAAAAAGTGACTATTCCTAAAGGCTATGAAAAAAAACTTCGTTTGCGATTATAAATACAAAATGTACGATAAATTTATGGAATAACAAGAATGGTTGTATAGGTTGTAACGGTTAAAAAAAACAACTGACTTTTACTAATTCAAGATTGAGTCCGAATTTCACAGAATCCAGCAGCTTTTTGAGATCCTGCTGTAAGAATTCGAAAACCAAGTACAAGTGATTATCTCCTTGAACGACATCGAACAGCTGTATTATATTTGGATGTGCTAGTTCTTTCAGCAATGAAATTTCTCGAATCGCTGTGGGTGGTACGCCTTCGCTCTCGCTGTTGTAACAAATCAGATTTTTTTGCTTTTATTTTAATATAAACACAATAAAAATATTGTTTTTCTCACTGTAAAAATAATAAGAATAGTAATTTATTTATTAGATGATTACGTGTGTACGAACGCACGTTAAGTTAGTCAGTACAATATATGTTTAATAAGGTAGTCAATAAAAGTAAGCTTGATACGATTTTTTAATGAAAGAATATATGCGGTTTCGCAAAAGCCTCTTTCCTGAGTGTTTAGCTCCATTCCAATATTCTCTACGAAGCTGATTGAAACACCATTTTCAAGTAGAACCCTAAAAGATATTGGTCTAGACGATCCACGTGGTTTTCAATGGTAGGAAAAAAAACTATGGCAGAAAAAAAAGCTTGAGTGATGATAAAAATAATTCAAATTTTAAGGTAAAAATTAAAAAAAAACCAGTAATTCAAATAAGTAAGGGGTTACAAAATTTAAGAGACTTAACCCTTAAATCAAACTTTGGGGCCTAGCCCTGTGAAAAATCGAGTCACAAGATCTCGCTCGAACTTTTCACACGCGATATTATTTTCCTCTGTAACCTTTTTTAAATAAAAGTACTTGTTGGTTTAGTCTGGAAATAAATTTATTTTTAGCAAAACGTAGACTTAATTATTAAGTTCCCATCTCCATAATACTTATGTATTCCAAGACTGTTTAACATTTTAGGTTTTTTCAATTTAAAAATATTTTCATCATCTACGATAAGTTTTTTCTATATTGAGTGTTTGTTGTAAATAAAAACAATTTATTTGCTTACAGCTTTTGAATGTCAATAAAATGCCGAAAAGATAACCACATAAATATGTTTTATTCACATTCAAACAGTACTTTGAATAACTTAAAGAACTTCAGATAACTGATGAAGCCTGGTTTAGATAACTGTTGCTTACACTGAGTCAGGTACACGTATAGGGGAGACCGGGGAATGACAAGCTTACTAGGTAACTCTAGCACCTCAGTTTCTCCCGAATGATAAAATATTTTCAATTCAAACCTTGTAAATAACAATTCCTAATGCGATTACTTTTTCCCTCTCCAAGTAAAACACTAAACAATGCAGCGTAAGTTTAATGAAAAACATTTAAAATTTTATCTCATAGAGTGCCTGCTCTCGCATTTTTAATCGCACACACTCGATACAATCGAACCTGTTTTAAACTAACTAATTATGTCTATTTTGTAGATTAAACCTTCAACACGCTTTTTTTAAATTTGCTCTAGGAGGCATGAAAAAAACGTTATTTAAAAAATAAATAACATGTTCTATATGGGGAATGACTGGCACCTTAGGGTGGGGCGCTACTAGCACGGGAGTTCTCTATATTACCGGTGATCTCCGACCGTAAACAGATTTCCTAACCTTATCCAGACATGTAAACATTGTGATATACAGTGATACACAAAGTGATTTAGTTTTTAAGATGTTTATTGTTTAAGCAAGTTTTACAAATGGTGCGTCACAAAAAAAAAGTAACCGAGGGAACTGGGATGAGAACTAAGTTACAACTTCAATGTAATTTAAAATATTTGTAATATGTATACATGTATACATGCTCTCGTCATTTTTTTATTTCAATTTTATGAGTACTCAATAAAATAAAAAAAACTTCTTTTTCAAAATTCATTTTACGAGTGACCCTAACAAATCATCGTGATTCATCAGGCTAGTGGTACCCCACCCCCTGCTAGAAGTACCTCACTATGGGGCACCGCTAGCAGTTTTCAGAGGTTTGGTTTGTGCCGTTCTTAAACAAAAAGTTTAATTATTTTTATATAATTTGCTTGTGTTGTGATAACTAAATTCTCTTTTCTTTACAAATCGATTTTTTTGGTTAATCTTGCTTTAAAATTAAAGCTGTAATTAGCTGTTGAAGAAAAGGTGTCCGTCATTCCCCGGTCTCCCCTATATGTAAGTGTTTTTGATAAACACCGTGATACTTTAAAGTTTATACGTACGCATGAGTCCAAAAAAGAATTTTTTAATTTCTCGATGATGACACTACTCCAAAATTGTATAATACATAGCGTACGTTCAACTACATATTATCTATAAGCAGACTGGCAAAGAATGGTAACTGACACAGTTTACTTTTGATTATTTTTTTGGGAATAACTGGAGATACGGCATTGATTATTGCAATACTAGAAAATCTATAAAAAAAGAAGTCAAGAAGTATTATTGAGCTGCATTTTGTCTATAAATGCTGTAAGACTACAGAAATGTGCGATGTAGAAACAAGATTAAGTTTTCATTTATATAGTATATCCTTACATCATACTAAAAGTTTCAATTCTTTTAGAAATATTTATTGATCACTAAAAATTAATTAAACCAATACTTAAAAAAAATGTGATACCTACTTAGAGCTTCTTTTACACAAAAAAAAAAAAAAAAAAAAAAAAAAAAAAAAAAAAAAAAAAAAAAAAA